AACGATGAAAGGCGCGCCTTCATCTCTAAAGACCTGCTCTGCATCAGAAATAATTACAGCAGACATTCTAACCACAGTGTTGACATCCAGTTGTTGATTCTCCGCCTCTAAATCATTCCTTCTCTCTGCCTGCAGGTTTCGACCCCGCCGGGGTGTGCACAGATTGCATGGAGAACGGCAGCAGCTACTCCAAAGACTCGGACTACCTGACGCACGGGTACGGCCACGCTGGAGGCTTGGAGTACCAGCAGCACTCTTTGCCCCCCCCACACCCTCACTGTTACCCCGGGGAGCCGTACTCCATCCCGCTCTGCAACGGGACCCCCAACGGGATCCGGAAGGACAACCAAGGCTCCACGCTCCCAAAAAACCACAACACGTTACAGATGAACCAACACGATAGAAAAGGTAAGGCGATACAAAATCCAGTGAGACTAAAATGAGCTGCAGCGCAAATACATGCAACAGCTTTAGACAAAAACACTCCTCCTGAAGGCTTTTAGCAAGCGGTCTTTCCTGGAATATGATTTATATCAGGCGATACCCTGAGAAACAATTAGGAATTTAGGATCTCTTGTCAAGGCAAATTCCTTTGAATGTGATTGCTGATGGATTGGCTTCTACCAGAATTTGACACAATATGATAGCTGCACGCTCAGAGCCCCTCAGGATATCTCTTTGGAAACTCTGTAAAGTAGCTCCGAGTCCTCAGCTGCTGCCAAACTGCTGCAGTCGCACGCCCGGGCCTGTTCTGGGATTGCAGCGAGAAAAAAAATGGCCTCCGAATACCAATTCTCACCTCCACATGTCAACGCAGCGCTATGCACACATTCCACCGCCTCTGTATCCTAAAGCTGAATGCATATTTGTCTTCTTCACCACCTCACTGACTGATTTTCTTCTTTCTCCTCCATCAGTGAGACAGACTTCATCGTTCTCCCCGTCGCAGGAGGACTCCTTCCACAAGCCGGTGAAACTGGCGAGCCCCGGCCGCCCGGACAGTGACTTTGAGCCTGAGCTCCGACAGACTCTGCTGTCTAACGGACACGCCGTCAGAGCCTCTCAGAATGAGTGCGCCCCCCTAAGGAGAGCCAGCGACTAGCAGGCGCTCCATCCAGCCCCAAAAAAGCGGACTCGCAGTAGCCGAGTGGACTTTCTATATATCTTTTTGCACTGGGAAATAAACTGCTACCTCATATCGAGGGCGATCGATCCCCAGCCTCCTGGATCTGGACTGAAAGGGAGCACCAGGAGGGGGGGGGGGAAGGCACAGGGGGGGGGGGGGGGGGGGGGGGGCGGGGCATCCGGAGTTTGAAGGTGGAGCTTGTGTGGGTGGCGTCCCATCTGAGCGTTATCAGCTGTACATAGTTTAAAAACCTTCCTCTGGGAGGTGACCAATTAAAAAGTTCTAGCTCCTAAAAATGTGACTTGCATTTGAAGCATGTAAATGTAGGGAATCTTGTACAGTATACGTATGTGCAGGGGAAAAAGAGAAATATACCTTTGGACATTTGACTGTACATAAGAGTTTTGTTATATTATATATTATATAACTTTTACAAAAGAGTATTTGAATTTATGTGCATGACAAAGAAAGGAGTGATGGTATTTTTATTTTTCGTCAAAAAAAACAGCCATTTTCAGCTTTTACCAACATTCAGCTGCGGTGCCTTAATGCATGATCAAAGACAACTCATCTTGTAATAGCGTATATCCAGAGACTTTGTGAGAGACAGTGGTACACTCTTATAGCAAACAAAACAAACACTTGATTGCACTTGAATGTTTTTTCGCTGCCAAACATGGCCTTACAGAAACACAGTTCACATTCGTTGTTGTTTTATGAAGGAAGAGCTTTGATGTAAATTATTTTGGTACGGTTCATGCTGGGATATTTGTGGGCGGTCAGTTCAAGCACTTTTTGTATTCACGTCATAAGCAAGCAGATTGTGAACATGATATCTGCCAATGGGAATGCAGGAGCCTCCTCTATGTGAGGAGACTATCCTCTTATTTTGACACGGTAAAGGATACAGTACACACTGTACCATTAAGGCTCTTCCACCTGTTTCACAATACTACAAATTACTGCCAAGCTGTTCCGAGGTAGAACATGTTCCTCTCTGAGTCTGATTCGTTTCTTTATTTGTCCAAGAAAGGTACTTTGGAGACAAACGTTTGTAAGTTTTCAACAAAATGTGTTCAAATTCATTCTAACAGCTCATTTAAAAGCTGCGAGAAGCCAGTAATGCTCAATTCAGTTTGGAAATGGAACACCTGCTATGTGTTCTTGTTCACGTTCATTGGGAAATCTACAGCTATGTGACATTTAATTGGCTGAATGCTTAATTATACAATTGTTAATCCATGCAGACATTTTCTTCAATGTCCAGAGAATCAGGTCTGCACATTGTCCGGAGTTTCCCTTTCACACATGCGAACACACAACAGGAGATTAGTCGTGTCAGACAATGTCTCACTTAATGGAAATATTTAGTTTGTTTTGTAGGAGGCCCAACATGACACATCACACTGTGATCATGTAGCCAGTTTGTAATTTGGTCATAAGCCATCATAAATGTGTCTGCCAATTCCGATGCCAGCTAGAAGTTTGAGAATCTGGTCTAAACCGTAATCATTATTGTAAGCGTTTTTTAAAAAAAAATTGCTTTCTGCAGTTTTGGGGCGTTCCTTTTAAGTTTTGCTATAGAAATGTCATCAACGCCCCCAGACATCAGACATTTCATAGACTTCGTACTACGGATCTGGCAGGTTAAAGTCCGTTTTTATATTTAGTCTTCCTTGTTCTGGCTGTCCTAGTTAAAAGTTGCAGTGCATGTGTGAAAGGGGCTTTAGAAAGACGGAGAATGTTTAATTGTTTTACTGCTGTAATGTGCCTCAACATCCACCATTGTGCATTCACAGGCAAACGGCCAGTACTCTGCCTCTGTCTCATCACCACAGTCACAGTGTAACAATAACTTCATCATCATCACTTCAGTTGAATATTGTTTAAGGTATCTAAATGGTTGATGCTGTGAACAGTTGGGAAGCTTGTGAAATGTGCTCTAACCAAACTATTGGAGGAATAATGCAGTCGGGTGTGTCTACAATCCCTGCATACACTGGGTCAGAATTCAGTCAAAAGTAGTTGCATTGTCTAATGTATTCATGCGTTTCGCCAGTTGTTCAAACTGTGTTCCGTTACCAGTGGCCTTATCAAGGTAAACTGGAGGACATGCTCCTCTGGTTACACCTGATGGCACCTATCGGAGGTGATTTTACCAGCAGGACCAATCAGAGATCCCGGTTTGGAAAGCTAATCCCAGTGTAGCAGGTAAAAGGGACAAAAGGGAGGGAGGGGCAGTTCATGTTCTGAGTAATTTATTGAAAACTGTTCGAAAAACCGTTGTACCAATGTCGAAGCTGAAACAGTGAAGTGTCTAACATGGCATTGAAGTGTCTAATAAAAAATCACATTTTGCTATTATGGGATGTGTCTTCATGTGTTTCTTTGTATGGAAAGAGTGACAGTAGTCACAAACAGCTGAGTTAGCATTTAGCAACCGTCACGTCACAGTGGTCATGGAGAAGCCATCAATTAATGGAGCATGCACCAAGACATGAAATCCAAGAGACCTTGATCTTCAAAGCACTGAAGAAGCTTGTGCCTGGATAACACACACACACACGTACACACAACGCTAATCTTCCGACCAGGAATGTGTCCTGGCTCCCTGAAGCTCCAAAGACAGCAGGCATACTTTTTCCTTCTGCGGGCTGTTTAAAATATTTGCCATTGAGTCGGAGCTGACTGAGGGTCAGTGGCTGGCCAGAATGTGCATTCCAGATGGATGTTTGTCACCGGATGATTGACATGCTCCCGGCCATGGCCTCCACCAATCACACACTGACCATTGTTGTCCAACAGCCCAGTGACAAGCAGCATGACAAACGCTCCCACCTGTGAGGCCATCCGTCTCCTGACAGGATTTAAGTCTTCAGTTTTACCTCCGAAGGACAACACTGAGCTCATTCACTAAATACAAGAAGGGAAAACACTTGACTATGGCTAACTGTTCCTGCATATGTTTAAATATTCCTTCTTAAATCAGCGTAGGTTATCTTGGTGTGCTCTCAATTTGAAAAGAGGGAACATTAGTGGAGATTGGCAACAATAAGTATGCATTTGACTGGCTGTTGCAGAGGAAGGTGTCTTTTTACTACAGCGACAGTACAAGAAAAGATCATGTGTAACTTAAACACATAGGCTACCATTAAATGAACCTCTGAGAAAACCACCGACATTATACATTTTAAACTCTTCCTCCTTTTTCCTATAGTAAAATGTGGATACGATATCCAACATACATTAAAAAAAATACCAATACCTGATGCCTGTGCAGTAAGCCTATGTAGCTACAGCTAGCAGACTGCTAGCTTAGCCTAGCATATTAAAGACTGAAACAACGGAACAGCTAGCCTGGCTATAAGCTAGTAAGTTAGTAGGCTAGGTTAGTAGGCTAAGTTAACAGCTAATTGCTGTATTGTTGAATGGCTGTTGTTGTTTTGTCAAGCTAACTTTTTTTAACTGGCAAGTTTACAGGTTTGAGCTTTAGGAGTCACTCTACAAGGTCAAATCAATCAGGCTAACGACCTGATACAAATATTTCACAATAAACCAGACAGCTATATCCCAAACTGTAATACACCTGAGGCTAATAATACAACTAGAGCCTTGTTAATTTAACAAAGTGCTCATTGTTGTAGGGATCCTTAGTATCAAATGAAAGCCCTTGCAGGTGGATGAGCTCAGTTGTGCTCCAGTGGGATTGTAACAATGGTGAGATATTACTCCGTCTCCCCCCTGGTGGGTCTTAAAACAGGTGGCCAGACTTAGCTAAGAGAAAAATATGGATTAAACATTAAAATGATCATGAAATCACATATTGGAAGCTTAACAGGGCCTTCTATTGGGGATCAAATCAACAAACCTCACCTTAAAACATAAAAAGAGTCTTTAATTACATCACTCATTGGTTCCCACACATACATGTTGAACAGTAAAGATGCTAGACTTGTGGGACAGGGTGTGGCTCCATTTAACACGCTACCATTTGTTACAGGAGTGTGAGCTCAGGCTGTTAAACTCAACAGCACTGATGAGCAGGAATGCAGCGATCAGGCCCTGGACGACTCTTCCCTCGAGCACCAGGTGTTCCTTGCTTTTCGGGGGCCCAGCAGCATGGAGGTGCAGGGGCCCCCAGAGGAAGAGGGTGCTTCTCCAAGAGATGCTTCCTCCGCTGTTCCTCCACCAGGCTGGGGCTCAGGATGCTGTCAGAGGACGAGCTGCTACAGTAAAGTGCTGCAGACTTTCTCGTAAGCTCCCAGGAAGATGAAACCGCCCACACTGATGAAGGTCATCCTCGGTATGCAGCCTGCAAACAGACTGCAGACAAAGAAGAGAAAGAACGATACGTGTTATTGCTGGAATCACATTTTGTAAAAGAGTTTTGCTAAATGGTTTTCCAATACTAAAACCAAGAGGACACATGACAAACATTCATCTCTCACTGTTGTGCAAGGCAGTGTTAACAAGTGTGTATCTGCATTAATAAAGTTGAACTGTGCAGGTTCAAACCAAACACTAACACACTGTACTGCACAGTGATGGAGGATCATACCACAGTCTATGGCTAAAGAAAAAGCAAAAAGATAACTTGGGGCTAAAGGTGAACTAGTGTTGGAGCTAAGTAGTCTCATTTTGCCACTTGTTAGTTTTTTTTTTCAGACACATCAAAGATTACAAATTCACAAGTATTTAGGCGGCTTACCAAAAACAACTCAAAAAGCACATTGAATTGAAAAGAGATAAGGTAAACAAAAGTGCAAAATCGCTGATTCATTTTCTGATTTGGGTTGGCCTTCTCACATTTTTCGAGTTTTAAGGATTTCAGGATAACTGTTTCTAACCAAAAAAGAAGGCTTCACTATGGCATATAGTTCATTTCACAACACGGCCCGTACTAAGCGAAGCATGAATATGAGAGTTTCATTTCCACAAAATGTTTGGAATGACTTTTCGTGATCACATCTCCAAAATGTACCAGTTGTAGCTTAAAGAAACCCTTTGAACAGAGCTGAGAGCTGCTCCGACTGTCTCAGGTACTCTTCCACAGTATTTGTGGGTAATTTACCGTGCCTTCAGGTGTGGGTCAATCATGCCACCTCATAGAGAGCAATAAGAGCCCACGTTACAGCGACTAAGGCAAAATAAAAAGCTGTTGACGTTGCGGGGGTCGAAGGATGTGATGAGCTATGAGAAAGCACCAGTCTCCCAAGAACCCCCCTGCCTCTCCCCGCTCCACACAGCTGTTTTTGGGATTAGGCATAAAGCCCCCACCCTGAGGCCTCCCTGGAACTCTCACCCCCCCCTTATTTCTCCCTCTGTGCATGACTGATGGCCGGATGACATCCACACATGTCCCTCCGCTGTCCTCCGTCTCTCCGGCCAGCGGCGGCCCCCTCAGCTGGCTCCATTGTCCGGGGCTTTCTCCTCCAACATCTCCGTTGTCTTGCTGCGTCATCCATTTCTCAGACACATGCTCACGTTGTCCAGTCTGCCTTTCCATGTCTCGCTCTTCTTTTCAGTCCACTATTCTCTCTGCCTTGTCTCTCCCTAGTCGTGTATTTGCCTACCAACACCTTCTGCTTGCCAACACGCCTCCACGCTCACATAGTCCGACCCGGGCCAAGCTCGAAGTAATGGATGAAGAGGATTGTGCCTACAGGGATGTTTGCCTGTAAGTGTGTGTGTGTCTATGTGTGTGTGAAGGGAGATGCACACAAAATGTCAGTCTGCATTCATCATTTGGGTTGGTGTTTGTGTAAGTTCTTGTGTTTCTGTCCCATTTTGTGAAACTTATTAAGATATCAGAAACGTCTGTGTGTTTTCCATCACCTGTGGGCGAGCAGATGCTGACGAGAGGCTTTTGTATGGTCCTGTTTTTCATGGCAGAGGTTTGAATTGTTATAATAGAAAAAGCACAAGTGTTACTCATAACTGTAACGATGGCTCTGTTCTGATCACTTGTCCAATTGAGTCATGAAACAACACCAGGACCCTGAAACTGAAGCAGCTAAATGCAATTCAGTAATTTTTGATATAACTTTTTACAGCTGTGCTTTTCAAACTGTCAAATGTTAGATTATTGTTTCATGAGATAAAACCAATTACAGAGGCAATTGGACGATCATGTGATTTAGTTTTGATCTAAGTTTGAGATGAGCAAGTTTGGGCTTTATTTTATGACATCCAGTCTCTGATTCAACCGATTGATGGGAAATTGAGGACTTTTTTTCTCTGATGAGCATTAGACATGAAAGAACATGTTGGGTCGCAACACCTTCTCAAATTGAAGGACTATCAGGCCCACTAACAGTAACATGAATTGTTAAAGTTTAAAATAACATGTGACCATCGCTCTTCACAAGGCAGGCGGCACGTGATACAATGAAGGAAGACCCATGCAGTGGATTGCAGTCTATTGACTAAGGTTAAGAAAACAAAATATCAAAAGAACATGAGTCATTTTCAAAACGCTCAAGGACCCGTGGGAAACAGAGGATAAGTCTTTCAAAAGATCTTATCATCACAATTTGGCATCTTGGATTGATCTTAGCTTGGCAGTCCATTACAGTACATTATACAATGATGCACTAACTTTTTTCCTGACAACCAAGAAACAAGAACAAAAAGCTACTAGGTGGATCTTAAAGTGGACCTATCATGCTATATTTGAATAATATATTGTAGGGCCATACCTATATAAAACATGTCTGTGAAGTTTTTTTTTCAAAATACCAAACAGATCATGCATTTTAGCCATGCCTCATTTCGCTCTATTTGCTCTTTTCCAGCCCTGTTTTTGCAAGGGCTGATTCTGTGAGAAGTCTTCTTCGCTGCTTTTGTGGCAGACTACAGCGCTACTTACAGGCCTGGCATATGTACTACAGCGTCTCCAGCGCTTTCGAGCGGCAATGGCCGTGGCCGTGGCCCAACCCCCCATTCCCCTGATAGGTGGAGAGTTGCCCATATAGGCGGAGCTCCCTGTTTCTGACGTCAGGACAGTGTTCAAATCTGTATCAGCTCTGTTGCAGCCCCGTTTTTAGATATTTGGGTATGGAGGAAAAGAGAGAGGGTTGTGTTTTCTGACACTTGGTGAGTTCCCTGACACACATATTCATGTATAAAAGACGTACAAAAGTGCATTTTGCATGATATGTCCCCTTTAAGTTGAGGTTTTAACACTTCAGCTTTCACTGTTAATGTAAGATGTAGGTCACCAACAGACACTGCAAATGCAAAGCTGTACAAGGTGCAAAGCATGTCAGGGATCTCTCAGTCATCCCAAGTATTCACAGAATGCCAAGGCCCGGATCGGGTGTTTTCTAAAAGACGTCAAGTGAAGTCTTTAGTTGTGTGTGGGAGAGGCAAAAAGTGTGTTTGTGTGAGACAAGGAGAATCCAAGTGTGTTTGTGACTGGTGTAAAGGCTCAAAATAAAGAGCGAGACATTAGTCAGAGGTTGCTGTCCTGCCCTTCAGCGAGCTCTTTCCATCCCAACACAGCTTTCCATCACCATCTGCTGAAACATAAGCCACAGGCCCGCTGCAGGAAACTACTTAGCATTACTGACACAGCAATATTACATATGATATCCAAAGCTAATCAAAGAGATACAATCACGTACACAGAGCAGCTGGGCAGCTAAACAACGTGATAGACACAACAAGTCTGGACGTATTCACCTCTAACGTCTCATGTGATGGATCTGATCGCCAGCAGTGTGAGGAATGAACTAATTTTAAACTCAACGCTCTTGTTTTGTCTCAGCTCCGGACTACTGTTACATGTCCTGTCTGGGATCAGGCCCACCTGTGGAGTCCGAGACGTCAGAGCAGAGCTCAGATATTCCCCCTCGGCTCCCCCGGGTGCCCTGACTCGCTCTGACATCACAGCCTGGCCAGCCACTCAGAGCTGTCAGCCCCCTATTGTCGGCAAATCACCTCTCCTGAGGATCGGACTAAATATAGTTCCATTGCAAGACAGGAGAGTGCATGAGAACAGTGGTAGACTCCAAGAAAGGGAGTAGAAAAAGGCTGGGGTACTCGAAGAACAAGGGTGGAAATATCTTAATGTATATTAGAGTACATTTGTGGTACTTGTTGAAGAGCAGGAATGAAGAGGTTAACATTTTCAGAGGATGAGTTCAAAAGGAAGAGACTAAACTAAAGAAGTTACATCAGTTTGATGTTTTACACATCCCTTCAGTAGAGAGTGGGTCTACTTGAACTTCTGGGACAAAACGTGAGAATAACATAAATAACAAAAAGTAAGAAACACATGTACCGCCATGTCTCTAAAAACACGATACCTAACTTTGTCAGCCCAAACAGACATCGCAGGAAAAGGAAGAAAACACCTTCATAAGTCTAGTATTCAGGCTTGGGGATAAACAGAATGCATGCAATAGTGTTGTTTTATTAGGATAACAAATAAACTGTACAAAAGAATAATCAGATTGCCGATACATTTAACACAAATGGTGGTTATTAACAGGAGTTTAAAATACATTTTGTAATAAAGAAGGATATACAACCAACCTATACAGTCTATTAAAGGAAACAATCGCTCCAATGGGTGAACAACATTTTGCCAAAAAAAACAAAAAAGCCTAATGCACTTGAATTTTTTAACAGGATGGTTTGCGAGGGATTCCAGTTAAAAATAAGATCACGATAAATGGTTTTGCCGAAAACGTCCAAGCTTGAAAAAATGGTTCTAAAATGTAAAGCAGACTTCTGGTCTAGCAAGCAATTCAGGACAAACAGGGACATTTGCATCTAAGTTAATTAAATATGATTTATACGGGTACTGCTGTCGCTCTAAGTTAAATCCAGTAACAGAGATGCACCGAATGATTAGAGTCCCAGGATGATGACAGCATTTAGACATCTGGAAGGCAGCACTTGCACTGTACTGCGATGGTGTTCCCCTTCTGCTTAAGAAAGAGTGGGGAATTCTCTGACTTTATTTGCAGTAACTTAATAATTGTGATTCAATCGGAGTACTGACTAGATTTTCCAACAGGTAATTAACCTCAAAATGAAGACAGACAACTTTGTTAGTAATATTATATTTTTCCCTTTGTCAAAAGTGCTCAAATCGCCCAACTTACCTTTTCTTTTTTTAAATGGTGAAAAACAAATATTCCTTGGGCCATACAAGTATAATTAAGTTCATTCACAAACATCCTTTTGTTGTGTGTATGCGGCACAAACAAGTCCTTTGTTTACTTTTCCTCCATTTTGCTTTACATGAGGCACAAAGCAGACGCAGCCCGGAGGCCATGTTGCTTATTAGTCTTTGTTTTGACATGATTCCTGGTGCAGTTTGGTTACTAGAGATGGAGGGGGGGGGTGCGGGGTGAGCTCCCCTGCTCTCTGCTAACCCGGGGTCTCTGGGGCATGGCACACACATGGAAGCACTTTAGAGCTTCACTACACTGCAATTGGGCCTATTACCATAATTACAGCTTTAAAGCCCCAGCAATTTGTATCAGGCATGCACCAGCGCAACCACCAGGCCTTTGGCCCTGCGGAGAAAAAGCCCCCTCCCCCCTCCACCCTTTTTACTTTCTACACTCCCCTGTCTCTGCATTTCATTATATTAGTTGCTCTCTTTCTTCTCATTCGTCACCTTCTCTGGTTACATCAATATCAGAGGAGTTTCTTCAGGGGTTCATCGTGTTGTACGGCTTATAGCGATGCACATTATGAGTGAGTTTTACAGCTGGACCCAGGGGAGCGCTGGAGGAGATAGAGGAAAACTTCAAAGCGTGGTGCAGAGGTGGGGGACTGGCATCAAAGCGCTCCTCCGTACATTACCATGGGTTACTGTTGCAGCTGGGAGAGTGGGATTCAGGCTTTTTCCATCGGGGCCCGCCAACTATCACCTCATCGAGATCGTGCAGTAGTCTCAAACATGATCTTTATTAAAATTGACGGCTGGCTTATTACTGATGCTCGAGAGCGGTTTGTAGGGAATCACCCTTGGCTCATATTAAACACAAAGCTGAAATGTAATTTGTCTTTGATTAGATTCCAGCGCTGCAGCCCGCACAAACAAACACAGAGGTTTGTGTTTGTAAGAGTGTGTGTTTGTGCGTCCCACTGGTGCTTGGCTCAGTCCCAAACCAAATCTGCTATGAGCATTAAGCCGAGGTGCATCCTAACTAAGTGATGGCGGCTTGTACACAAGCGGGGCTATTATTCACGCCGGCTGAGTGTTTGTTTTAGTGCTGGCAGCCCTCGGCGGCCCCATTAGACCTGGCCTTTTGTCCGGTGCGCATCATAAACACATCACAACACTCAAATAAACCCTTCCACTTGGCCCCTGTAACACCTTAATCAATAGGCCGGTGCAGCGAGTGGGCGGGAAAAGCTTTTATAAGTCTCATTTTTCAGCTGCGGCTGTAAATTCGCCTGCCCCCGGAGTAGCGATTCTATCATCAAACTTGATTACGCGGGTTGAATCAAATCATGTAAAATAAGAGTTTTTAAAAGCGGTGTGTGTAAAGAGGCTGTTCAGCTGTCACGTTGACAATCCCTCTGAAATGAAGACTCACCCTGGTAGGCCGCGGCTCCTCCACACGTTGCAGAGCACCCTGGGGATGTTCCCCCCCGCCTCGCTCGACCCGGCCTATAGAGAGGGAGACAGAAAGAGAAAATAAAGGTATGATGACGGATGGATCGTCTCCTTCCCTTCCTGCCCCCCCCCAACGGACACCCTGTTTAGTCTTCTTCAGCCGAGCTTCCTTCACCTCCCCCTCGCTTTTTTTGTATCCCTTCATTTCTCCTCATGGACAGCTGGGTCAGCGAAGGTGACACCTCCAACACCCACCCAGGCACCACCCGTTGGAGAAACACCCAACCATTTGCCCACCCAAAAACACACTCGACAAGTTCTCCCGCCCCCCCCCACCTGTCAGTCTAGAACTTTTATTTACATAATAAGGCTTAGCCGGCCAGAGAGTTTTTAATCCATCACTGTGGAGTGGCACAGGGGTCTGAGAGCTGCAGGAGAGGGGTGCCGGGGTTAAGTGAGGGGGGGCATTTCTTGCTACTTTGCACTTCTACTCCACTACAATTCAGAGGTCAATAGTGTACTTTTACTCCACTTTTTAAACAACTTTAGTTACTTTGCATATTTGGAATAATGATGTGAAATATAATCAACACTTGAATAAGACTTTAGTTACACCTGGAGTCAAATTCCCCATGCTATCCTGTCGTTCACAAAGTGATTAAAAGCTTTGATCATTCCTAAATGCAGCAATATTTATAATCAAAACATATGCTATAATGTATATCATTCTGAAATTGGCCAATCTGTATAATGAGTACTTTACTTTTGGTACTTTAAGTAGATTTTGATGCCAATCATTTTCTACTTTTACTAAAGTGCAAAATTTGAGTACTTTTCCACCTCTGCCGACAGGAGAGGGAAAGAAAAAAGGCAGGAGTGTGTGTGTGTGTGTGTGTGTGTGTGTGTGTGTGTGTGTGTGTGTGTGTGTGTGTGTGTGTGTGTGTGCATGCACGGCAATCTACAGCTCACTGAGCATGTAGGAAACAGTTTGTAGCCACTGCCGTAAATTGTGACTCCCAGATCTGCTGAGAGGAAGGAGAGGATGATTTCCACATTTCTTTCAAGAGAGCAAGGGGAAAAGAAAACACCCCTATGTCTTTTGTTTCTGTTGGAGACAGGTGGCTGAGAAACGACTCTCTCCTCGTCTGACAAGTTTTCTTTTCCTTTACCGCTGGAGGAAGGAGGGAATGGAGGAGAAAGGTGTCCAAAACACACACACACACATACACAACCCCCGTGTAACTTAACGCTGACATAAAAAAAAAATGAAATCTTTAAGTTTCTTCCTGCTTATATTGGCTTGCTGCTTTGTTATCTGAGTTCCTTACAGTTATGTGTGAGTAGTAAAAACCTTTCCGTGTTCTCCAATAAAACGAGATGACTGATAAACAAGGTGGCGCACCAGCCTGATGTTGGCTCCTATGTTTGGGTGCATTGGAGGGTGGAGAACATGGCACTGATGGCAGCAGTGTGGTGAACCGGCAGGAAACACGCCAGCCCCGAGGAGAAGAGCCGTGTTGTACAGTAGCAGCGTGGAGTGCCAGGCAGCAGAGGAGCCCTGGAGAGGGGATTTACACGTCCAGCTACGCCCTGGACATCCGCCTGCTGTACAACACCGCTCTTTCATTCTGCAGGCCGTAGAAAAAGAAGGCTACTGCTACTGCGGTGACAGAAACTAATGTGACACGTTCCAGCACCCATACTTCCTCCTTTCATCCAATCCAAAGCATCCATACCCATCAACACCAGCCCGCTCTCTGCCTGTTTCCCTCCTGCCTGGACCTGTCAGCCTCTGCTGCTGCTGCGAGAGTTTATACAACTAAACCAAGCTTAGGTCTGACACCCTTTTAATGACATGTTACCTTTTTAGGCGAGGCACTTTAGATGCAAATGTTATATAGATTTAATGTAATCATTATAGTCTTGTTCCAAACTACCGTCATTGACCATCATTTGCTAGATTCAACTTCTTCCATTGTGAGGTTTTGTTGTTTTTCTTTGTCATATGTGATGAAAAGTATCACATTTTATAGTGTTGGTTGGCTCAAATAAGACATTTCTTTACATTAATGGTACTTAACGATGAATTTTTAAATGAATAACTAATCAACAGCTCAATATGCAGTAAGTGACAATGTACTGTATGCACCAGCTAGTTCAAATAAGGACAGAACAATTATGTTTTATGGCTAATATTGAGCAGCAGATTCCTATTATTACTTCCTGTAAAAGGTTAACAATGTAACCACCAAATCCAGCATGCTGCTTGTGTTCATAACAAAAACGTAAAATATTACACAAAGGAATGTATATATAGAATATACCAAAAGCAAAAAAATACTATTCCCGGTTACTTAGGCAATTCCAGGTTACAAAAAAATGTCAAAGAATGTAGGAAAATGCACCTTGAACGGATTGAAATATACCTGGCTTTATCATCCTGGCTTTTATTTTGTAGAATACAAAGTAAATACATAGCGCTGGGGTGCTATCAGCTAACTTTCGACTAGCAAAGCCTTAAGGAGTATTGACTCTCACTCCAGTTTATTTCCCAGCTTAACTGTCGTGCCTTCAAGTGCATCAACATCTTGGCCTTATAAAGTTATAACTGAACCCCGTGGAGGCAGCACAGGCCACCTCTGCTGGTGGTGAATTAGCAGCTGCATTTCAGATCATGTTTACAGGAAGCTTTGTAAACGCGCTGTTCCACCTTCAGCCAACGGCTTCTCAGCACAGATCAAGACCGTCTGAGTGTTTTGTTAATTCCTGTATCTCATTAGTTAGGATGGGGGGGGGGGGGGTTGCTGAGGAATGGAACACTGCGTCTTCTCCTAGGACGGTCTGTTTGTGTGTGTGTGTTTGATTGTGGGGGGGCTGATTGGGGGGGATAACTCTGAACTCACTACCCTTTTCACACACACATCGTGAGGGAAGCCAGACGTACAGTTGCGGCGAGCCAAGAGTGGAAGAGGAGGGGGAGAGAGGGAGAAAAAGTAGGGACACCACTACATGGAAATAGAGAGAGAGAGAAAGAGAAGGGGGGGGGGGCTGTTTGAGAAGACGGAGAGTAGAACAGGAGGGACAGTGGCCTTCTGCTTCACCTCTCAGTGACAAGCAGCCTTGAGATGGAAATTCCTCTGGAGCAGCAACAAGTTCTCGTTCTTACAATAACCATGCACCCAAACATGTCTTACCGAACACTGAGCATAGTCCGGATCGGATGATGGATGAGTGTGTGTGTGTGCGTCTCACTCCTGTCCCGGTGCTACCTTAGCTCCGTCCAGTGAGCGGACACTGTTGAAATTTGCTCAGGCTCTCTGCCTGCGAGGCATCACCTGACAGCAGTGTTTAAAAGTCGCTGCCAGAGAAGGTGGTGTGTGTGTGTGTGTGTGTGTGTGTGTGTGTATACCTTCGCGAGTATGATCCTGGTCTTCGCCACGTCAAGAGGAGTGGTAACAAATGCCGCTACCGCACCTTAAAGAGACACATACACACACATTAAGTGCAAACATAAAAGGCCCTCTCTCTGCTCTCCGAAGAGTCTTTAGTTTAAATACTGAAAATAAAACCATAAAAACGTCCAATTACTTAACCACAGTTACAGAAACGTATTATTTCAGCAATAAAAAGTGGAACTCTCTGCCCCTAACGCTACATTAACTTCATAAAAATGATAATATTCCCCATTTGAGACCTTCACTGTTTTTAGACCACTAATACTGGACAGTCACACTCTTATTCCCAACCCCCCCCCCCCCCCCCCCCCCCCCCTACTGCCTCATCCAAGCCACACCTTTCAGAGGTTTATATCTTTCTTTTTTACAATATAACATGAGTTTACTTTCAACTGAGTAAGGGTATAAATTCCCTAAATTCTATATTTCAACATGTTACACAATTTTCCTTTCAGACAAAAAAAGGTAAACAAATTAAAACAAAAATAAGACGTGTGAAAAAATGATAAATTCTGATGCATGAAACGCATATAAACACAAAGTCACACACACACACACACACACACACACACACACACACACACACACACACACACACACACACACACACACACACACACACACACACACACACACACACACACACACACACACACACACACACACACACACACACACACACAAATTAATTTTATAGAGCAGTTACACCCCAACTTCCTTCCATCCCTCCAACTTGGAAGCTGCATGGGCGGCACGATCCAGAGGTGTCCCCACTGAGCTGCAGTGTGTATCTAAAGTGAGAAACTGTGTGTGTGTGTGTGTGTGTCACTCCGCCACAAACATAGCAACTGCTCTCAGTAAACATATCCATATGGGCCACCGAGGAGCAATGTGACTGTAAGTGAGCTGAGGAAAGCGCTGGGATTATTGTGAAGTAACACACCGTTACATTTTACTAGTTAATATAGTTATAAGATTTATATGATTTTTCCCCCTACTTTGGCAGATTAAACTTCATCGAGCATTAAGTGTACAGCCTGTATTGCAGCCTGTGTTTTATTATTCTTGGATCGCAGTAAAAAGGATGCATTAGAGAAACAAATCTACATGCCGAGCGCTGAATTTGGAGGATCTAAATTTGTCTGGAAGAAACATATGATGTGATGAAGGTTAGGATGAATCAGACGGTGATGTCATCCCGTCTCGGGCTGGGGAGATTTGTTTTGTAGGCGGTTCAGACCGGGTCAAGTCCGTCGTAAGTCAATGCAGGGTTCAACTGGAGATATTTGGGCTGATTAAAGGAGTGAGCATTTCCAGTGTTGGCCAGATGATGTGTGAGGGGAAGAGAGTGTGAAGCGCGATGTAAGAGGAAGTGACTGAAACTCGAGGATCCCTCTTGGACAGCAGCTCCATCGCAGAGGGACGTGAACTCGATTCCCACCATGGACCCACACACCCCCACTACCCCATGCCCCCACCTTCTCTCCTCCTTGTGTTTCAGATTGTTATCTTCCAATACATATTTCTCAATCATTTTGCCTTCATATCCCAATTGACAAGTCTGCCATTCTACTGGATAATAAGGCTGCCTGGTTGTTTTGAGCGGTTACTTGAAAAGCTAAGAAATCCAAAGTACATCTTTGTCTCCTCTTAGCTATTTATTCATCTAAATTGTTTTGATACAATTTGCCAAGTGTTGTGAATATCGGCCTAAAAATGTCTGTTTTCTATCAAAAATGTATGGAACTAGATGGCACTTGGCTTGTGTACTCAAAGCACCAACAAATACATTTTCAAATCTGAATTCATGACCATTTCAGTCAAGAAAACCTACAGACCTAAAAGGGAACGGTTTCAGGCAGGGACTGTTTTATTTTTACCAGACTCAGCAAACCATAAACGTGCCTCTACTCATGGAGGAGAGCTTCATGCTCATGAAGGTGAGAGATGTAACTATTAAACACAATAAACGTAATGCTACCTAGTTCAGAAGAGCCTTGTTCAAAGAAGATACACACTTCTGTCTGCTCAGTGACCCAGTAGAAATAAAACAGTTCCTAAAGAAAACTGTAGTCTGGTATCTTTAGGAAATGGGTCATGATTTCTTGTAAGAGAAATTGCTGTTGAGTTTTTGACATATATCTTCTTCACTTTGAGTACCAAAAGTCAAGTGCCTTGTAGATCCATTATATTTCAGAGGAGGAAGACATCACAATTCGGTATCTCCAACAGTGCAACTCACACTTAAACCATCTCGATTGAAAATAGCACTACAGGTAAGAGGGAATACTAAAACTGTCCTTCTAATAGTGCACATCTTAAAACGTCCATACATATTTACAACTACTATATTATCATTAAGAGTTTAATCTTCACTCATAATTCTTTAGTCTGAGCCTGACGCCCACTCATCCACATCTCCTGGCTCCTCTGTTTCCAGGCTGGGTGGCGCATGGCCACGTCTCAGCTCCTTAGGGTGCTGTTTCCTTATCCCCTCTCCTCTCCTTAACTTCCATCTCCATGTCTCCATTGCCCCTGGAGAAGCTAACCTCAGTCTTCCTGTCCTGTCTGGCGCGTCTGTGGCGTCGCAAGAGTTATGGATTTAAATTGTCCAACAAATTCTCCACTTCTGCAAAACTGTTCTTCTGAAAATATGTATTTTGGTCGTGGTTCTCGCTTTTCATCGGGGAAAAAGGTGAAGACTGAGTGGAAAGATGGATGATGTGTAACATTTTTTACCCAGGTCTATCATATGAACGCTACACGCTATGTTGCTACATGCACCCTGTGGGTTTATAGTATTGTCTCTGGTTGCAGAGATAATGTACACTACACTGAATGCAGAGAGTGTTTTAGTTAAATAATGATTTATTTCCCCTGCCAATGCCTCTCCATCAATTTTACACTTTATGGAGGACAATCTAACTTCCTAAAAGCAGTACAAAATATCCAAAAGCACAAAAGCACACTTATAATATACACATATAAGTAAAAAATATATGTAATAATTTAAACAATCACCTGAATGAAGTGCACCTCACATCCACACAGGTGTTTTCACTTGATGGACTGATTAGACCTCTGCCTCATAGAGGGAGGAGCTATGATGTCTAGACTCTACGAGCCAATAAGAATGATTGTTGTACGAGACACTGTAACTTGTCCCGCCCCGACATGATGCATCGGGGAGAAGCCAATCACCTCCAGAGTGAAATCAAGCGTATTAAGTGAAAACACCTGTGTGGGTTTAACCGGGGCTATGCAGAGGCTTTAAAATGAATAAAGTTTGGGACTGTGCAATGCAGAATAAAGTGCTTTTATAGAATTGCACATTCCTACATGCTTATTAAAAGCCTTTCAATAACAACTGGTATAAAGCAGACTCAGGAGTCCCGTTGTTTTATTTGTATCTAAAGTTGGAGTTTAGATAAAGGCTGAACTCTTTGGAGTGGATGAGCGGGGCAGGGAGCATTACTTTTTGCTCATATGTACATAATAAATGTCCTGAACATAAGCTCTACAATCACTACCACCTTTGTTTTCTTGTTTATAAGACAAAAGCAACCATAGCACGGTGAGTAAGGGAACAAGCACTTCTACACCTTCTTGTGAATACTTTAAAAGTGTGTCTACAAACTAAATTCATCATCAATAAAAGTGCAATATATACATTAAAATGTATAATCATAAAACAATGGTCTACCCAGTGTCAGGGTAACAATGGGCTGGGACTTATCTCATTTGTTTGTGAGACCTTTAACTTGACAAATTGCACATTTTAAACGCTAACAATTTCTGACAAACTTATTTTCTGTATCTCTCTCATTTTACAGTCTGATCTAATCCATAGCTGTTGTCTTTTCCTTTCCCCTGTTCTTCTTGTTTTAGTCCACTCCCATTCCCCTCTTTCACTCCCTTCCTACGCCTTTCTCTCTCTCTTAAACCACTTCAGGCCCCAGTGCTCAGGAGGTCGCACAGCTGCAGGGGCCCATACCCAGGAACCGGCCCCTCTCATACCGGCTCTCTCCTCCCTCTGTTGTCCGTCTCTCCCCTGATACACATCCGGGCTAGGACAGAATCATTAAAGCTGGCTATGGTATGCTTTTCATTGGCTGAAGGGCATGGGAAATGTGATAATGAGATGTCTTTTTGAGACAACACTGCAGAATCACTGAGTTGAGGAGATGGTAGATTAGCGCTGTAAAAAACATTGTTAAAGGAAATAGCTCGAATAGCCTATTTTCATTACCTTTATCCATTCGTATCTACTTCTTTTTTTTGTGTTGCTTTAATCTGCTGTGCAGGTGAGAATGGGATTTGCAAGCTGAGCTCACCTTTGAGAAATCTTACAAGAATGTGTAAAAAAATTCTTGCTTAAAAAACTGAGGGTTAGGCTAGGTTTCTTCTACAGGAACAAGTCCTGTTTCTCGCTTGAGGCCAGGAAAAGGCTAGTCACTGTGACCTTTTGACCTGTGCTGGACTATGGTGATTTGATTTATATGAATGCACCTGCCAATTGCCTGGTCAAGTTAGATGCTGCGTATCACAGTGCACTGAGATTTGTGACAAACTGTAAAGCATTAACCCATCACTGTACCCTGTATGCAAGGGCTGGTCTGCCTTCACTAACTGTACGGAGGCTCAGTCACTGGTACATTTTTATATACAAAGCCATGTTAGGGAAACTTCCATCCTACATCTGCTCCCTGATCTCACGGCGAATTGTAAGTGGCTACTGCCTGAGATCGCATGCTGTGGTTTTATTAAATGTGCCAACTGCTAGGACTGTCTTAGGGAAGATAGCATTTAGATGCGCAGCTCCACTGTCTTGGAATAGTCTGCAATTGAAATGGAAACTGAGCAATTTGGTGCCACTAAATGTTTTTAAAGCTCGGTTGGATGCTACTCAATCGGAAGCTGTTGGTACCTGTTCATGTGGATAGTTATGTAAATTGTAATCCCTGTAATGATGCTGTATGATGTCCTTTTTGTTGTTCTGTTTATGTTTTTATGTTTCATGTGGAACCTACTTGAGCAGGTCTCCCTTGAAAAAGAGATCAATGATCTCAATGGGATACACCTGGATAAATAAAGGTAAAAATTAAAAAAAAAAAAAAAAAAAAAAATGTGGCTTTGGGTAAACTTGTTTTGACCCTGTGGCCATCTCTTCACCTACCATCCCTCCATCCCTCCTTCCATTGATTTCACTATCCATTCCTCCCCTTCCTTCTTCCACCCCTCACCACCCCCCCACCCCCCCTCCTCCCTCTCCGCCTCTTTCCCAAAGCAGCAAATAATCCTCTGCACCTGCAAAAGCTCCGCACACTGCAGACTGCCAAGAGTAGAGCGTGTGACCTTGCCTCCGTGACCACAGAGTCTGGGAAGAAAGAGAGGGAACATGTCGAGAGAGAAAGGGAGAGTTTGTCGATAGAGGAGGATGATGAAAGGGCAAGAGAAAGGGAGGGAAACAAAGAGAGAGAAGATTGTAGTTAGCGGAGATATCAGACACATTGAAAACACATTGTGAACCCTGGTTTGGTCGGGGGTCCAGCGCGCGGCTGGGAACCGGGCTGTCGGGCTATTTTTGTGTTTCTTTTCTCCCCAGTGATGTCATGCTACTTGTTTCCCAAGAACTGGGACAAGAGGGAGAAAACATGAGAATGTGCTGCAGGGCTCTCACTCTATCATCTACACAGTATGTCAACGCTTACAGTGTTAACATATCAACACATTCTTTAATTTGTTAACATTTAGGAAAATATCATTAAAAAAGTAGAGTGATATAAATATAGGCTATATAACAGGGGGCTAAACAAATACTGGCCACTGTCTAAATTGTACGGTCCAAGTGGGGCCACTTAAACATCCTAAAGAACAGAAAATAGAAAAATATGCAACTATATACACTAGGAAACCTTTTTCTTCACGTTTCCCTCCTACATAATATACTCTTGTGCAATTTCTATTATCGTATTAATAGATATATTATACTCCTGGAGAGCTGTAGCGTGAAGTAGCACAAAATTCAATATATAAAACTAATTTGTCCATGCCTCTTAAAACTGTCTGTGCTCCAGTTCAACTTCTCTTAAAAGTCTTTATGTTGACAGCGGTAAATGACGTCAAACATCCAATAAAGAGGCAATTTTTTGGAGCATTTGGAGAGCCAATCACAGGGTAAAGTAAACTAAATTGTAATTCATGATGGGGTCCTGAGCATAGAAAGAAGTTTGATGAAAATCAAGCCAGTAGTTATTCCGTAATCCTGTTGAAAGACAAACAGACATACCAAGCAGAAAACATTCCCTCCTTGGTGGAGGTAATAAGAGATTGGGGGGGAGGGGGTGTTGTGAAACTGACCCGTAGTCGGATGTGGTCTGGTAGTGGGGCAGCCCTTCTTTACAAAGGGTAGCTAGTTTTATTAGGATTTTGTCAATGAAAAATACATGAAATAAAGTTGAATGCAAGCACTTTGTGTGTCTGAAAAATGCTCACACCACCGGGCAGCTTGGAGTGAAACCTTTGAATATTCCGAGAATAAACACTTAGTTTTTTCTCTCCCCTAACTAGTTTCAGCAAAGCGATGAGGAGAGCGACTACGCGGGGTTAGCCTTTGTCTGAAATGCATGTGGACAGCTGTGGTGCCTCGGGCTCTTTAAGGTATGATTACTTCTCAGGGAGAGCAATTGAGCAACAGCATGGAGCGATTACTAATATTTTCTTTGTCCATTCCCCCCCTGTGAGTTTAATCGGCAGCACGTTATCTCATTCTCCTCCTCTCTCTCACACACACATGTGGACATCACAGAACCCATGTGTGTGTGCGCAACACATGCAGACACAAACAAGTAAACACGGGGAGAGGAGAAGAGCTGGCAGAGTGCGCGCTGGCTCAGGATGTGTCATGTGTGTTCCATTAGACGGCAGATTCAAAAAGGAGATTTTTTTTTTTCCACATCAAAGGCTTCACGCTGGGGGACTCCTCTCCGTCTCTCTCCTTCTGCGAGTCCCTCCCTCCCTTCCTCTCTGTTTCATGAATAAATAATAAGGGGTAAACCTGGGAAAACAAACTTTTTGACCTTTGAACCCTTGTGTCAGGGTCGGAGTTTGCACCTGGACGACTTCCCACAGGAAAGCAGTTGTCTGTGTGCATGGGAGGGTTTCAGTGCATCATGTTTGTGTGCATCATCATTGGTTAATTTGGAGTTCCCAGCATGCCTTTGGACGCAGATTCCTTGAATTTTCTGCGGCCTCTTCTTGGTGTGCAGTCCTAAAAGTGTTACACCCTCCTGTTTTGCTAATGTTGTTTTTGAGGTCTCAACAGATGGTGTTAACTATAAGTGTTATTCTACAGCTGCTGTTGGAAAACAACAGAGTAAACACTGCAATATTATGAAATGAATGTGAGGAGGAACAGTGAGAATTATTCACATGGATAAGGAATGGAATAACATTATTTCATATTGTGTGACTTTCCTGATGATGAATTTATAATCTTTTTAAAGAGGCCCTATAATGCTTTTTGGCCTTTTCCCTTCCCTTTAATGTGTTCTATAGGTTTGCCTCTATTTGAGTGCTTTGTTTACGTCCGCAAAATAGTGACATCACTATGTTAAACTTGCGCTTCTATTGGCTAGCGCTCCAACACATTTAATATGATAGGCTAAAGGGCAGGACATCTCTAAGCAGTTGACCAATCACAACAATGCCTGCCAGCTAACCAATCAGAGCAGACTGGGATCTGATTACAGAGAGAGAAAAGAGGTGCTGCAGCATCACTTTTTAAACATGAAAGCATGTAAACATGTCACAGTAGAGGCACAAAATACAAATATGAACCTGGAAATAAGCGTAATAGGGCACCTTTAATATTTAAGAAATGTACGGACATGTTGAACTCAATGCTCTCTACGATGTGTCTGCTCGCTCCTTTTCTAACAGGCCTTTAATTGGTTGGTCTTTCTCCATTTCTGACGCTCTCACTGACAGCTGTGCTGGCTTGGTGTGAAATAAAGAGGGAAAAGGCCATAACGCAGCACATTACCATCCCACGAAACAGATGTGAGAACTTGCCACACACATGCACTCGCTCTAAAATTCCTTCACTCTGGCATTTCTCATATTAAATCACATTATTCTTGATAATGAGAGCCTCTGAACCTCTTGGTGGTCACTCCAAAAGGATTGGCAGCAAAACAAAATCTTCTTTGGTTGTTTTGTTCCTCTCCTTCCTTGACTAGTCAGCCAGGCTGTGCCATTGTAACTGAGGAAACGGCTCATTAGCTATTCAGAGCAGAGGATACATATGGGAGGACCGGGAGTACTGAAGCCAATTGGATGGAGAAGAGGACAAGGAGAAAGAGAGGAGAAGTCCAGATTCCAGCAGTTCAGCTCTCCGCCAACGGACGTGTCCAGATGGCCTGGAGAGAGAGGGCCTTTGACTGAGGCACAAAGAGACACTTGTGAACGACAAAATCGGACTCTCACAAATGTATGGACGCACACAGCTGTGAAGTGTATTGTTCGTCTTAGCTCGGCCGTTAGCTCCTAATGTTGGAGGAATGTTCGACTGTCCGCCTCTCGCGCCCTTGAGACATGATGTCACTCCGACAAAACGCCATCTTTATCAAAGAGGGACAGCTTTTTATGTGGTTAGGGCCAAACAATGAAAAGAGAGAAAGGGCAAGGGGGGACAACGCTAGGAGGAGACATAAATGAAGGGCCGGATATTCTCTTGATAAATTGAAATCCGGTTTGATGGCAGTCGTGACAACCCATTAAAGCCGTGTGTAAAAGTCCCATTTCCCCCTGCCACAATGAAAGAGGGGAGTACAGAGGGTGAGCCTGCTGTAAATGTGTCAGAGTGTTAGCACACTATAACTTTACTGTGGATTAATCACAGAATAATTACTGTAAACGACTGTGCTGAGGAATGGTGGAGAGGGGAGGGGATACAAACAGATGGATAATAAAGAAAGAGAGGGGATAAAGCCAGTTAGGCAAAGATCTAATACATACCTTTAGATATTCCCAAAGTGGAAACTGCACCAGCGAGAACGGGATCTGAAAAACAAAGAGACAAGAGTTTTAATTAGAGTTGTAACCCTGTAGTGTGTTGTTTAGGTTTGTGTGCATGTAACGCCTCGATTAGACTCCTTGTTGTACTTCCGTAACATAACGACAACACTATGTAACATTCAAGCTATTATTGGCTAGCACTCCAACACATTGTACATGATAGGCTAAGGGGAGGGACATCTCTAAGTGGTTGACCAATCACAACAGAGCTGGTCAGCTAACCAATCAGAGCAGACTGGGCTCTGGTTTCAGACAGAGGGTGAAAAGAGGTGCTGCAGCACAGGTAGTACGGTAACACAAAGACCTTTTTGAACATTAAAGCATGGAGACATGTCACAGGAGAGACATAAAATACAAATATGAAACCATGCACAGAGACAGACACTAGATCAGATCAATAAAACAAATATCAGGTCACAAACCAGCTTGTAATGAAATAAAATACACATATGAACCTGAAAGAGAGCATTCTATGGCCCCTTTAAGGATCATGTTTCATCTTTAACCTCCAATCTCCTGCACTTGTCATTCCTGACACCTTTCTCTGTTTTCTCTCTTTCTCGTCTGACTGCTCCCTTGTTCCTTCTCACTGCTGATGATTAATGAATGAGACGGGCTGTGGTCTGGCAGTTCTCAATGGAGAGACGGATGGATGGATGGATGGCCAGATAGATGGAGCAAAGTTGGAGGAATAGAGGGAGGAAACTAAAGTGATGGTTGGAGCCAGAGTTTGGCCATTGAAAACACAAAATCAGCTCAGGCAGGAAGATACAGCGGGGGAAATGTGCCAGCATTACCATGGCAAGGAAAAAACACAAACACACACACATATATTTAGACACATGAAAAGGAATGGTCACATTTTATAGAACATATAGAAAACGGATTTGGATTCGGACACACACACACACACACACACACACACACACACACACACACACACACACACACACACACACACACACACACACACACACACACACACACACACACACACACACACACACACACACACACACACACACACACACACACACACACACACACACACACACACACACACACACACACACACACACACACACACACACTGCAGGAATGGGGCAGAGCGGGACAGGAAGGAAGAGAGGGGAAGAAAAACAAAAACCAAAGAGACAAATAAATAAAAGTGACACCGAGTTGTGTCATCAGTCTTTGATCACAGGAACAAGAGGATCATTCATCTATCTGCTCCGCCTCCTCCAACATGTTCCATCAGACTACGTCAGCGCGTCGGTGTAAGCTGAACTGATACAACTCAGAGTCAGCCGAAGAAAGAAAACAATACATGAGCTGTGTTTACGACTCTTAATAAGCAGCTCATATAAACACAGTAACCTAAAGGAATGTGCTGCATCTGCCCTTCGAGAGAATATAACGTTTTAAAAATCATTGAAACAGTGTGCGTGTGTAACCTTGCAGAGGTGTAGATTAAATTGATGAGCAATTTGTAGTTCAGGGCAGGCTGGAGACACACAAACACAAACACTTTAAACGTGTATGAACCTGAAGCGTAAAGCAGATCGTAACTTTCTGTTTGTTTATCTGGAGTTGTGAGATTTAATATACAGGGTGGAGGACACATCACTGTTAGTTCATCACTGCAGTGTTCTTTCTTCCAGTGCTGAAACGCTTTCTGCTCGTCTCACATCAACACGCTCCGAACTACCAATGCAATGCTTTCACCTGATGTTGGAAGTGATGGAAGGAGATGACAGATGTAATACATCTCTAAGCTGAGTGAGCAATGAGAGACAGACAGAGAAGTGGTGAAGAAAGGGAAATGGACAAGTATTTCCATCTGTATTTCTTTTTATCGTCTTGAACCAAAGTATCATCCCAATCAAAAACGAACCTGAAGCATTTTTATTTTCTGTCGTGGTGAGAAATGTGTGCAATAGGCGCTTTCACACCGGAGTACTTTTCCCGATTAGTTCCGATAGTTCCTGGGATTTTGCATTCACACCAAAAAGAGAATTTAGTTCATGAGAACCTTTATCCCCTTTTTAGTGCCTGCTAGAGAGGTGGGACTATCCTGGGGAGAAAAAAGTTCCAATTTCTATTGGCTGGGTGAATTGCAAACCACGCCCCGTAAAACTCTGAAAAGTTTTGTGAAGCCGCCATTGTATTTGCTGGCATTAGCATTATTAGCATTAGCATTAGCCCCGCGCGCCAATGGAGAGAGAATAATTTATGGCAACACAAAATAAAACATGGGAGCGGTGGAGATGAGGAGGTGTCGGCGTTCTGGCGATTTACTCTGAAGGCTTCAGTAGAAGCTGCTGGGAGTCCCAGCAGCTTCTACTGAAGCCATTCCCCAACTCCGGGGACTCCCGGCCGGGGACTCCGGGTGGCAGTATACGGCGTGAAGTTGTTTGCGGCCTGCCAGTAAACCCAAAGCAGAAGAAGACAAAGTGACGTCAGCGGCTTCATTTGCATAATCTTCCCTCAGGGAACTTATTCCGGTGTGAACGCGATCGGCTCTTAGTTCCATGGGGGGTACTAAGTGCTGGGAACTACAGTAAGTGCTGGGAACTAAGTAGGGCAAAGTACTTGGTGTGAAAGCGGCTAATGTGTTACCTGCTGTGGAATGAATTTCAAAACAACTTCAATCCTTGTGTCACTGCTCTGACTTGCTTTAAAAAAACAAAACAAGCAAGCTTTCTGAAAACAGCCCAAGGGAGCAAGCTTTATTTTTTTTTTTTGCGTCTGCTATGGTTTTTGAGGTGGGGTAACCCTGGAGATAGACTTATGCATCACCACAGCACCTGATAGACTGAACATTGCTCATAACCATACTACTACTGCAGTTTTTAGGGGAGGAGAGATTATTTAAACTCAGAGATATGTTGCCAAATTAGTAAAAAGGCCGTATTCTGCTCATTTTCAGGTTCATATTTGTATTTTGTGCCTCTCACACTGCCTGTGCTGCAGCACTTCTTTTCACCCTCTGTCTGAAACCAGAGCCCAGTCTGTTCTGATTGGTTAGCTGGCCGGCTCTGTTGTGATAGGTCAACTGCTTAGAGATGTGTCGAAAACGACTCGCCACGTAGCCTATCACGTACAATGTGTTGGAGCGCTAACCAATAGTGAGTGTTGTTACACAGTGATGTCCCTATGTTACAAAAGTAAACAAAGGAGTCCAATGGAGGCGTTTCAGGCAGAGGGCGAGTGTGTGGGAGAGAAACTCAGTCTGGAGGGAACTTTGGGATTTTAGCCTTTGCAGACCATTTACATGCACACAAACCTATAGAACACACTACAGGCAAGAGGACACCCCAAAAAGCATAATACGGCCTTTCATGAATTTACCTGATAATACATTTTAGGCAATCTACAGGTTGTATAATAAACCTTTAAAAGGTAGAAAGACAAACCCTCACACATCATACAAGAAGTGCATACAGGAATTATCATCACAGTGTCTGATCCAGAATCAGAGTTAGACATTGTGGGAACTGAGATGTTAAATCTGCGTTCAACTCCTCAGGCAAAACAGATCATCTCTGCGCAATATCAGAGATTAGATAATAAGCTCTTTAAGATTAATGTGTGACGGTTATTATTCGATTAGATTGTTGTGCAAATGCCTTAAGGTGGAATAACCACACCACAAACTCTGCCGCTGAGAGAAGATCCAAAATAATCACTGTGTTTCTCAACCGAGGGACAGATAATAATCAGTACAAATAAATAACAAAAAAAACATCTGTATCAGTTCCAAGTTTACTTATCTAACATTTAATGAAACTTTAATGAAGTTTTCACTTTAAGTGTAGCCTCTCAGAAGACACACGGGGAACCAGGGACTGCATATCACTCCATCAGAAACAACTCAGACTAACGGTATTTCATCACAATGGACATTAATTATTGTGCTTTGAAACACGTTTAAATGGACTGTATGTTATTTTAAAAATATAAAAGTTAAAACAGAAAAAGATCAAAAAAGTATATCGTTAAAATGTGGCTGGAAATCGTATAAAATGTCAAATTATGACAGATTCTGGCAAACAAGCACCATTCAAATGCATGAGGATACAATGTTTCAGGCGACCAGAAAAAATCAAGTTTCTCTAGATTTGAAAATTGTAAGAAACATTTTGTACATGTCCGCTTTGTTGACTCAAAAGCATATAGTTATAATACTATATAATAGATTTAGTCGTTTTTAGAGATTGGAATGCTTTTAAATGTTAGTGCGTACGGCAGTAGTTGCTAATCAAATATGTCAAAGCTTCACACTAAATGGCTAGGGACCTCTAAATAAGTTACTTTACTTTGAAATAAATGTTATTTGTACCATTATTTTCCTTTTTCGTGTGTCTGTGTTTATTATACCTTACCTATTTTAAACCAATCTTTAGACTGATGAAGTATATGTTTTGAAAGTATTTGGTTAGTGTGTTTGGAGTTAGTGTTTCTTACCTTGTAAATGTTTCTTTATATTACTACTCCTTACACGTTTAGACGTGTTGTTCAGATATAGTGCCAATGCTTTCTGTTTTAATGTCTGGGCCCCTATTCATATGTTTTGGACAGCTTATCGGGATGTCCCATTTCACATATCTACATTATGTCTTAGGGTTCTACCTATTTTTGTAATGTATTTTAACCGTTTGTGAATAAATGAAATAAATAAAAAGTTGAGTATGTATTTTTAAATCAATATCAAAAAGTAAATATTAACCAAACCATCACTAAGCTTTCATTCCACACGCCTCATACAGTTACACTGTTACCCTTTGTAGTTTGTGACTAAACGATTTAGGGGCTCAGCATATTGCTTAAGGACAGTGTGAGGGACCACCTGGTTGTAAATGGTTGCAGGTGCTGAACTTGAAGTCAAAAGGGGACATTTTCTCTAACCAGTGGACCAGTGGCAGAAACGCATGGTTTTGATATTCTAGAGTTACACAGAGGTCTGCTCCACGTGTTGAGGGCAC